TAGACTTTTATATTTTGTACTATTAAAGCTCTAGGAAAGGTTGGAAGCAATGAATGATGAGGCTAATAAGAGAAATATTTCATTAGCATTTAGCATGGTGGGAAGTACTGGGTATAGCCGTAAAGGGAATCAGAGAGAAAGACAGACAACTTGAATTCTCCTGGCTTTGCCACCTCTGTTTCCTTACCATCTCAGGCAGGTTTTTATTGAAGGCTATTGAACTTTCTCTCTCTCTCTCTCTCTTTTTTTTTTTTTTTGCTTTTTATTTTTTAACATCTTTATTGGAGTATAATTGCTTTACAATGGTGTGTTAGTTTCTGCTGCATAACAAAGTGAATCAGCTATATGTATACGTATATCTCCATATCTCCTCCCTCTTGCCTCTCCCTCCGGCCCTCCCTATTCTCTTAATACTTGATCTATTCAGCGAATGTTTACTAAATCCCACCCTTGTGTGGGATTGGCTCTGTTGGCACCTGCATCATTAAGATGCAGAGATGAGCAACGTGAGATCTGGAATCAGACACTCCTCTGTGTACTCCTTCAAACACTATGAGACCTTTGTAAGCTCCTTAACTTTTCTAAGGCTTAGTTTCATATTTGGAAGATAAGGGGGGAAGATCCATCTCATCACAAGCCCTGTTATAAATATTATGTAATATAAACCATGTAAAGCACAGTACAGTCCTGGCAGTAAGCGTTCAACCCATATGAGCTGGTAGTTATAAACACTGCTGCTTTTCTCAACGAGCCTCTGGAAATGACTTCCATCAGGAACTGCTGTAATAAGGTAAATGATTTTCCCAGAAGAAGTTGCCAATCGTATCCTGGAGTAAAAAGTCATTTTAATTTGTGAGCTTCACAACCCTCAGGGTGTCTGGCCCCCCAGTTAGGGAATAGCTTCTGGCCTCACCGGAAGCTCTGCTATCAGAAATTAACAAAGTCGCTGGTTATGCGAATGCTCCAGGCAAAGTCTGGAAATCCAGAATTTCAAATTTGATAAGACTGTTTATCAACAATGACTGAGGGTTTCTTGGCAAAAGAAAAAATTCAACCATCCAGTTCTTAGCTAGAATGTAGATTTTAAAATTTAGTTCATGCATAAGTTCATGGACGTGCCTTATGTGGAAAATGAAACTACATGTTTCCAAATTCCATTCCCTTGAAGAAATAAAACCTCTTTCAGAACATGTCCATTCCATCGCAGATCCTGTTGGTGTTTCCTGCTAAAGTTATCCAAATTTCAACCCCCTAATTAATAACCTCTCCACCATACTAAAGGCTGGCTTTGGTCCCTTCTCCATACTGTCCCCTAGATGAGACCCTGTCTTGCATCCCTCTTTCCTACAGAGCTTAGCTGCCCTCCTTTCTCCCCTCCCTAAACTCACTCCATCTCCTTCTCTCTAGGTCAAGACTACCAAATACATTTCTTTTTTTTTTTTTTTTTTTTTTTTTTGCTTTGATGTTAAAATCTTTTTTGATATGACATCAGGGTCAGAGTGAACGTTGAATAGGTTTTTTGGTGTTTTGTTTTGTTTTGTTTTGTTTTTAAAGTTTCTTGTTTGGCAGAATAAGACGCTGACAATTCTTTGTAGGTCTCCAAAAGGTTTGGAGATTGTATTGGTCCAGAGATTGGAAACTCCTGAGCTGGGGGTTTCAAGGAGAAAGCCCTTCCTGATTGTTGGGGAATGGAGGCTTTTCCCAGCTGCTGGCATCAGAAAGGCATACAGTTAGTAATTGTGGTATATTTCAGTATTTTCTAGATACATCTTTGCTTTTGTGAAGTCTAGACTCTGGTGGAGTCTGTGAGAAGAGGCAACACAGAATAAGGGCATCAAAATCAAAATTCAGTCTGAAACTCCCAGTTCCCTATGACCCTTGAGAGATCATTTCTGCAAATTTCCCAACCATCAGGAGCTCCACAGAAGTTTTTTTTTTTTTTTTTTGGTTTCTAGCTTAGTTGAGATTTTCGGTACTACTGTTTTATGATCCCCCAGACTATATCATGAGTGTACTCTCACATGCCCTACATTATTTCTGTTCTTTCTTTCTTTCTTCCTCCCTCCCTCCCTTCCCTTCCCTCCCTCCCTCCCTCTCTCTCTCTCTCTCTCTCTCTCTCTTTCTTTCTTTCTCTCTCTCTTTCTCTTCTCTCTCTTTCTTTCTTTCTTTCTATCTTTCTTTTCCCACACTTCACGGCTTGTGGGATCTCAGTTCCCTGACCAGGGATTGAACCTGGGCCATGGCAGTGAAAGCGCCAAGTCCTAACCACTGGTCCGCCAGGGAATTTCCCATTATTTCTATTCTTGATTTAGATATTTCTTACAACGAAAGGTGTCTTTTTCAAAGCGCATGCCTTATCAACAACCATAATATTATAATGTGGTTGAACAACTTCCATAAAAATGTCTCGTCCTCATTCTGGTATGAAAGAGAGTCCATCTGACCTCTTAGAGAATTTGTAATAGAAAAAGTTGACTTGAACACGTATGCACACATACCAATGGAAAGCTCTGCTTCTGAGGAGTGTGTGATGTTCTCAAACCACAGACATTTTTGTGTTTTCATGTCCTCTTCTCTAGGGCTGTTTTGAACATCAGTTACCATCGAGCCTGGTTACTCAAGCACTGCTGGGATATTTGGCCTCTCAAAACAACATTAATTGGTTTCTAGGCAATAGATTTGAGAGAGATAGATAATTGCTTTTCTTTCACGGGAAAGAAAGAAAATGGCTTTTCATGCAACTCCCAAATGTGCTATTTCCCCAATAGGTGATGGCACCTTGGAGCATAGTTCTTTACACAGGCTAACCCAAGCTCACTAAAACCCGAACCTAGGCCTGTGAAACTCTCAGCCCATCTGTCTCCCAAGGAGAGAGAGAAAGGGGCCCAGGCCAGATTCTTTCTTACCCTACTTTCAGCCCAAAGCTAGTTTGATTCATACTCAGCCAAGGAGACCTAGTCAGATTCCATAGATTTATTTCTGCTCTGCAATTTCTCCCTACCACCTGTCTCCTTCTCTTTGATTATATTTGAAACCTTTTCCACAAAGGATTTTAAAAATTGAAGAAAGCTAAACATGTAACTCTTTGCCTGACATATTTTTGTGTGAATGACTTTCAATTAAAATGCAGTCACTCCGTCATCAGGTTGAAAGGACTGATGCAGATTTGGTTAGTGTTTCAGGACAGGGAGACTGGTGAAAAGAACAGAAGGGCACTGTGTAGTCATCAGTGTGGATAAAAGGGGCGATGAAGGAAAAGGCCAGAGACTCACTGCAAACTTCTAAATTTTGCTTAAGGAAGGTCCTATTTATTCTCAGCTGGGTGGGGACAAATAAAAATTGTGCAGGTCCATGTCCTGGCTGCTGTGAATAGAGCTGCAATGAACACCGGGGTGCATGTGTCTTTTTGAATTATGGTTTTCTCCAGATATATGCCCAGGAATGGAATTGCGGGATCATATGGTAACTCTAGTTTTAGTTCTTTAAGGCACCTGCATACTGTTGTCCATAGTGGCTATACCAGGTTACATCCCAGGTTACAACAGTGTAGGAGGGTTCCCTTTTCTCCACACCCTCTCCAGCATTTATTGTTTGTAGATTTTTTGATGATGGCCATTCTGACCAGTGTGAGATGATACCTCATTGTAGTTTTGATTTGCATTTCTCTAATAATTAGTGATGGTGAGCATCTTTTCATGTGCTTTTTAGCCATCTGTATGTCTTCTTTGGAGAAATGCCTATCTAGATCTTCCACCTATTTTTTGATTGGTTTGTTTTTTGATATTGAGCTGCCTGAGCAGTTTGTATATTTTGGAGATTAATCCCTTGTCGGTCACATTGTTTGCAAATACTCTCTCCCATTCTGAGGACATGGAAACAACCTAAATGTCCATCGACAGATGAATGGATGAAGAAGATGTGGTACATATATACAGTGGAATATTACTCAGCCATCAAAAGGAATTAAATAATGCCATTTGCAGCAACATGGGTGGACGAAGAGATTGTCATGCTGAGTGAAGTCATCGGACAGAGAAAGACAAATATCATATGATATCACTTATATGTGGAATCTAAAAAAAGGGTACAAATGAACTTACCTACAAAACAGAAACAGAGTTACAGATGTAGAAAACAAACATGGTTACCAGGGGGTAAGGGTGGGAGGGATAAATTGGAAGATTGGGATGGACATATACACACTACTATGTATAAAATAGATAACTAATAAGAACCTGCTGTATAGCATAGGGAACTCTACTCAATACTTGGTAACGGCTTATACGGGAAAATAATTTTAAAAAGAGCGTATATATGTATATGTATAGCTGATTCACTTTGCTGTACACCTGAAACTAATATAACATTGTAAATCAACTAGACTCCAATAAAAATTTTTTAAAAATTGTACTTCTGATAGTTGTGTTCTGCAGCTGCAAACCCAGAATCTCCGTCTCTTTTGATTTATAAAAATATACTATTTTTAAAAATGTGTGTTTGACTTCATACAAAGGGGTGTTTTCCTCTGAAGGTTCATTAATGAGGGTTACATTTTAGTCTTAAAAAACGAAGTCAGATGGAATGTTTAAAAATTTACAAGCAAACATAGAGAACATTTGCCTGGTTTGTGCAGCTGAAGACATAATTAGAAGTGCCTAGAGAGAGAGAACAGGGTGAGGGTGTGCAGAAATTTCAACCATTAAAAAGAAAATTCCCCGCAAATTGCTCACAAATGTGAGGGATTAGTCAATATACTTGGGGCTCTCCAAAACTTCTTAGCAGCCAATAATTTCTTCATGATTAACTGCAAACAAAAAGCTTGCTTCCTTTCTCAATGCCATTCTGTTAGACAGTTATAATGAAGGAGCTAACTGGTCACGGGACAGGAAAAGCTCATGGACAAGGTATTAGAATTTATAATCCTGGCCGACATATCCAGTTACTTCAGTTTCAGATTACTGCACTTTCTTTATTAGCAGACAGATGACTAAGGCAAATACCTTTGCAGACACCTGCATGCTGTTCTCTTGCATGTTCATGATGGCTTCAGAGATCTTGACATCTATTGGGTCCATGACCGACTCAATGTTGAATGGTCCTTCCAGTCGCTCTGCCACCAAGAGCATTGCATCTGTTAAAACACAGGAACGTGATTTATTTGAGAACCGGGAACCCCAGCTTCTAACCTGCGTTTAAACATTTCCCACATGACCGGCTGAAAAATGACCACTCATTCAAATTTTGTATTTGCTTTTATGTAGTTCAAAATGGAATTGATGACTCAGTCTTACAGGAGTATTTTATTTTATTTCATTTGAAGGCTTAAAATTATTTTACATATATAGAACCAGGCCTGAAAATGAGAAAATAAGTTCAAATTAAGAGAGTTGAATATACCTAACTCTTTCAAGTGAAGTTAAAGAAAAATCAGGTCAGGTTCAAATGTGGAGTTAACCTCTTTTCTTCTGGAGTATGGAGAAAACTGAGAATACTGAAGACGTGTAAATGTGAGAGTTTGGGGGATGCACTATCGTCAAGACCCAACTTAAGCATATCTGCGTGTATGAAGCATTTCTGGATTTCCCAAGAAGGACAGACCTGCTTGGTGCTGTCACTCTACCTAGCATGCTCTTCTGTTTTTTTTTACATCTTTATTGGAGTATAATTGCTTTACAGTGGTGTGTTAGTTTCTGCTTTATAACAAAGTGAGTCAGTTATACATATACATATGTTCCCATATCTCTTCCCTCTTGCATCTCCCTCCCTCCCACCGTCCCTATCTCACCCCTCCAGGCGTTCACAAACTACTGAGCTGATGTCCCTGTGTTATGCGGCTGCTTCCCACTAGCCCTTCTGTTTTTAACACTTTGACACGCTCTGGGAATAGAGAAACTTCTCTTACTTGTTTTTGCATATTCAAGGCTTATTATGGTGCCTATCGCATTGTAAGCTTTCAAGAAATGTCTATGAAATTATATTGAACTGAACTGAACTAAAGTACTGCTTGGGAAGCTTTAGTTTTCTGGAGAAGATGCTAACAGTGATATGGAGGCAAGAGCTGTGAATTAGGAGTGAGTTGCCCTGGGTTCCCAACCCTGCCACTAAGCAGCTGGATGGCTGTTGGAAAAATCTCTGAGCTTACTGGGCCAAAGATTAGAGAGGTGTATAAAAGGGACCTGGGATGAAGAGTCTCCCGGCGTCTACGGTGAGTGGCATAAGAGACAATATGCCCATTCCTTTGCAAACTGGCCCAGTTTTGTTCTTAGCATCCAGGACATAGTTTGGTAACTTGTCTCCACCAGGACTAACAACTAGAACTTTCTGTGATGATGAAAATGTGGCTATGGAAACTTGAAATGTGGCTAATGTGATCGAAGAATTAAATGGTTAATAAAGTAATTTGCCTTTAATCTAAATATAATTAAAAATATCCCCTTGGGACCAGTGGCTACCATATTTAGATGGGGCAGCCTAGACTTTTAACATGTAGATGCAATAGCCCTCACATTTTTTTTTTTTTCGGGTACGTGGGCCTCTCACTGTTGTGGCCTCTCCCGTTGCGGAGCACAGGCTCCGGACGCGCAAGCTCAGCGGCCATGGCTCACGGGCCCAGCCGCTCCGCGGCATGTGGGATCTTCCCGCACCGGGGCACGAACCCATGTCAGGCGGACTCTCAACCACTGCGCCACCAGGGAAGCCCAGCCCTCACATAAAGCTCTTGGGAGCCAATCTTAAAACGTTGTCCCTTTCCAAAATAATACATGTTTATTATCAGACACTTAGAAAATACAGAAAAGAAAAATGAAGGAGAGAAATACAGCCACAATCCCACTTCCCAGAATAACACTATAAACAGTTTAGTATGTGCCCTGTGTTTATTCTTCCTCTGAGCATGAATATTTTAAGAATGCAACTGAACATATACCATACAGCTATCATATACCATACAGATAATCGTCTTTCTAAATGTAATATATTATTAATGTAACATGCTGTTTATAGCAGCTGCTTTTTAGTATTAGTGCGAGCAAACCAAATTTTATTTTTATTACATATCCTACCATGCTCAACCAAGTGCCACCATCAAAATTTTTTCAGGGTTATAAGTAGTTATGAATTAGGCAAGTGAGAAACCTTTTAAGATAGATGAATTTTTATAAGAAGGTGCTGTCTGGGAAGCAGAGTCACATTTTTAAAGAACATCAGGCTTTGTGAACATCAGTTTTTATACTATCAACTGGCTTTCCCAGCCAGACCTCATAACTGGGTCTTTGACCTCCTCCCTATGCAATGAACGAGACTAAAAGCATCCAGGGTAGCACTTGAGTGTCAGGGAGGTCCCGCTATCCCACCCCTTTCCCCCGTACTAGGTCCCATATTTTTCTCATGGACACAAGTCACATGAAAAACCTAAGTGTGAACAAGGACTCATAAAAAACTCGAACAACAAATTTTCTGATTTTTCCCTTAATGCAGATCTATCTGTGTATGTTACATCGGGATATTATAACAAAAGTAGTAATTTCTCTGGATCTCAATGACCTAATTATCTGGCAACATGGACAGAGGATGCACCTTGTTTGGTTGTAGTATTTTGATATTAAAGATGTTTTCTCCTTTAAGGTGGCCTGAGAGCTGTGCGTTTCTTTTATATCTTTATATCTATGTTGTGTATTTATAAAAAATAATCCCCTTTACTGTTAGACTTTCCAACAGGCTTTCTGATGAAGATTAATTATGATGAATGAGCAAGTTTCTCTAGACCCGTGTATTCTGCTAGAAGAACAAGGAATCTTTGTACAGGAAAAAGAATTGGTCCTATGGAGTTATCCAACAAATGCAGTTAAAGGAACTGATAACTATGGGATACTTAATTGTGTGTTTTAGACAAGTATTTGCATAAGTCATCATACAAAGAGTACTGGTCTATCACAGTATATTTATCCAACACGAATGGGTTGAGTTGCGGTAGTAATAACATTAGCTCTACCGGAAGTCTGTAGGCGGGAGTGCTCTGGGCAAAAAGGATGAGCTTTGGGTTGGATCAGAAGGACTCAGCAGACTGTCACAGTTGGAAATGATGGGGTCTAAAATATCTCTGAGAAGGTTCTCTTCTTTAAGTTCAAACAGTCCCTTCTCTACCAGACATTCCAATAAGTAAGGCAAAAAGCTGTTCGATTCGTATCCCAAAGTCAAGGAACTTGTCTTTGGTGATTTCAATCTTTCGGTTCCCTGTTCCTCTCCCACCACAGAGCTCACCTTTTAGCTTCTGGGGTCTGCAAACTCAGCTCTTCCTTTTTGACTCCAACCATGAAAAGGGTGACCCTCTCCCAAGCAGTCGCCTGCTTGGCCTTGGAAAATGGCCATCCTACTGATGATGCTGTATCTTAAACGTGTAATCAAATGGCCGCATTTACTCAAATTGGTTGGCCCTGGATTTCCATTCTTTATCTCAATTCATTTGCTTTGTTATACAAACTAATTTAAGGTGATACATTTTTAGATGTAGATATATGTCTTTATTTTTCTTTTAATTTAAATCACCAGTCGGAATATGCTACTTTAAGCTATCTGGTTTAGTTTTTTTAAAATACACTAAAAAATCACTTTAATAAGTAAAATTAGAGTCTCCTTTGAAGACTCAAAGGCCAATATAGATTGGCTCAAAACCTCAGAACCATCGTTAAGAGTAGTAATGTGCATGCAGTTAACGATACTGTATTGTGTGCTTAAACATTTGTTAAGAGGGTGGATTTCATGTTATGTGTTTTTTACACGCCCCCCCCCCCACACAAAGAAGAGTAATGACTTTGTGCTGATCAACTACAGAAGTTCTTATTAATCAATCAAACTACCTGTTGATAAATCATTAACTAGTATAAATGTACCCCAATATATTGAAGCACTATATTGCTTTTATAAAGAAATACATGCATTCTTCTAATTCCTGGAAAAGCTCAGATAAAACTGTGTGGGAAACATTTGGATAAAATCACATGTATGCATTGATTATAGCCATACCCAGGTTTTTGGTTAGAATGAGAGGAAGGCTGGCAGAGGGATGTAAATAGTGGTTTTCTGGGCTCATATTTTTCTAACTCAAAGTTTTTTGTGAAAATAAGTTAATTGATAGAAGGCCAGATAAACCTACACGAATAACTGGTATATCAACCACCATAAGTAGAAAAAAAATACATGTCTTCTTATAACATAACCATCCCTCCCCTCAATCGATTCCCCTGTTCCATTGTTCTAAATGTACATGACTGGATTCCCCAGGGTCACAAAAAGAAAAGCAGCTTTTCAGAAAATTCCTCTAATATTTTGCATTTCCACTATAAAGGGTCATGCTCACAGCAACTGCCTTTAGGAATCTAGTTTAGACACATTACAAGGTGAGAAAGTGGCAGTGGAAGGCCAGAGTCCTCAGCCCTGGGACTTGGAACAGGCCTGCAAGCGGATGGTGGCTCCTCCTCGGACCCCTGACCCCAGATGGCAAGAGGGTGTGCGTGGTCCATCTGCGTCCACTGAGCAGACAAGCGCATCCCTGCTTGGCCAGTTTGCCTCCCACCTGCTGGGCAAGTCTGTCACCAGTCAAGCTCCCCAGGTGTCAGGAGAACCTTTTCTCTGCTTTGGGGCTGGGGGAAGCCATGCCTCTCTCTCCTTCCAAAGCAAAGAAAACACAGAATACTTTTATGACACCAAGGCGGTAGTTAGTAAGTTTCTCTGAAACCAATTAAGTCACAACACGGCCATAATTTCCTCCAGAGGCTGCCATCCTGCGCTATCTTAATTATCTTCATGCCATTTACATTTTGAAATATTTGGAACTTTATTTTTAACTGTGCTCTTGGAGCTGTTATCTATTGCCAATTAAACCAGGGCAGTTCTAGTATGTCAGCTAATGATCAGCTGGTCCTTTCTATACATATCTCCTGTGTTGTCCACGTTTTGTTTCTCTTTAAGCAAAGGACTACTGTCTTGCTCAAGCAGTATACATAACTTTTGTTTCTAAATGCAGAATGACATTTGGATGGATTAGAAGTAACTGGTATCTCAGCATGAGGTTCTGATGCACAGAGAGATGTGATGACCCTGTTAGCATACCAGAGACAGGTATAGCAGCTCAGC